TTATCTTGAAGAGAAGAGAAGAGAAGAGAAGAGAAGAGAAGAGAAGAGAAGAGATGAGAAGAGAAGAGAAGAGAAGAGATGAGATGAGATGAGATGAGAAGAGATGAGAAGAGATGACATGAGAAGAGAAGAGAAGAGGAGAAGAGAAGAGAAGAGATGACATGAGAAGAGAAGAGAAGAGATGAGATGACATGAGAAGAGAAGAGGAGAAGAGAAGAGAAGAGAAGAGATGAGATGAGATGAGATGAGATGAGATGAGATATGAGATATGAGATGAGATGAGATATGAGATGAGATGAGATGACCCTTATATTCATCCAGACGCACCGGAGCACACATAAAACACATCTAACTGAGGAGAGATCTTACCTGGCAATGTGACGCTTTCCAAGGAACCGGAAATGTTGGAGACAGAGTCTGTTTAAAAAAAGAAGTACGCAAAATAATGAAAACACACAAGGATTTGATTCCTTCTTTCTTTTTCATTCCTCCGTTTATTGGTGTTTATGAACAGAGTAGTCACTCACTCCAGGATATTGAAGAAATCGCTGATCTCCTGGTGGATCGCTCGATGCCAGTATGAAACCAGCACCACTGCAACACAGAGAGCACATCATCCTCACAACAGTGTATTATGTTACAGGTCACTATGCTACAGTATGAGATGTGAATATGTGCAATAGACATGTTCTTCCGAGGTTCAGTGATTTAAAGTCTCACCCTCTGAAATGGTCTTCATGATGTGCAGGAAACATATGAGCAGACTTCTGGTCTCCGCTTGATCCAGTTTGTCAAAGCGTGCACCAAACCCAATGAGAGACTGCGGCCTGGTAAACTGAATACAGTCATCACAATCATTGTTATATGAGAAAAATCATTCATTCATTCTGAGTTTCTGTTTTTGTTCATGTGTTATGTTGGCTCTATCTATCTGTCTGTCAGTTCATGTACTTGCTCACCTTTTCACATCCATCCATCTTCTCACTATTGCGGTCACTGTTGCTGGGGTTCGACTCGATGCTGATGAGAGAGCCTCTGGAGTCTGCATTGTTAGCTGTTGATACGGCCAATGAAGAAAAGGCTGGGGAAAAAAGCAAATCAGTATGTGAAAGACATTCTTCTTAGGCACTTTTATTTTTTAAAGGATGTTTTCTTCTGTACAATGACAGTTTTGTCGTTGTGATATCATATTCCAAATGTTCTGAAAGCATGACAGATTTGTGTGAGGAATAGACTATGAATAGAGGGTGACAGTCTAAGCAGCATCACTGTACCTGTAATGGAGTTGAGCACTTCCTTGGTTAAGGACGCATCCATCGAGTTCCCATGGCGTAAAACATGGGTCACCTGACCTGCTAAACCTACTCCGACACTGAGATCATCTCTGGAACCCTGTAAAGGAAATCTTATTACTCATTACTTACTAGGCCTCATGAACTACTTTTGTTTTTTACTTTAGCGTTGTACTGTTCCCTGAGGTCCACTTATAATGTCATCAAGAGGTTTACATCAAAAAACATAATTTAGAAGTAACAGGCTATTTTCTGCCCTGTTTTGACTCCCCTCATTGGAACGCTCTGTTTAAATAGACGTGGCAGATTGTTTAGCCACACTATTACATCATAGAGTCGTATATTCCACAAGCTGTCATTTTGGCAGACTGGCTTCAATATAAGCTGTTTTTAGACTAATGAGAAAGATTTGAGTTCTTAAACTTACAGGATGTTTTTATAATACAATGACCTCTTATGCATCAAAAGATCAAGGGAATTTTGATTTCTCAGTTCGTGACACATTTAACAATCACCACAATGGGAGAGCTGATGTAATTTCAGTCTAAAATAATGCAGACGTGTTTTTTTTTTAAAGCCTTGAGGTTGTGAAAGTGCAGATGCATTTTAAATTTTGGATTTGTGTGCAGTTCCCCCATCCCCCCCCCAACCCAAAGTAGTTTTAGTGAACAAAGTTGATAAAGTATCCTGTTTGATCACAATTTTTTTAATATTCTGACCATGTAAGTGTTTGTGTTCAAGGCTGTTGAAACGGATTCCTGCTCCTTTCCTCACTTCACTGTTACCCAGCACAACCAGAGGAAGGAGTCACTGCCAACGGACTGCTCACCCAACAACACAGCTCTTTGGTCTACTGGTTAATGTAATGGACTTTAAAGCATCTCTGCAAGTCTTCTACCAGACCATGTCATGCTAGACTGCACCTCCACCCCAAGAAGTTCAAAAAACAATGTTCCTTGGACATGTGGTTGGGACAGATGGTGTAGCAACTGACTCTGAGAAGGTTGCAACAATGGAGAGTTGACTGTTTCCAAAGCACACAGCTTCCCGGTTTGGCCTCATGTTACATGCATTTTATTAGGACTTCGCTTCCATCACTAGTGATCTTCATCGCACTGGCACTCCCTGACCAATAACTGTGAATACCTACACCAGCAATATTTGGGCTGGCAGCAATTCAAGCATTGCAGCATCCACCTCTACCTCCAATAGGGCAATAAGTGCAGTTATTCTCTTTTGTTGTGTTGGTAGCAGGGCTCTGAACCAGTTCAAGGATTGAAAACAAAAACCGGTAACTAACAAAATTTTGACAGGAACGTAACCAGAAACAAAATCAAATTTAATAGTTCAGAACAGAATCGAAAATATGAAATGGCCATTAACTGGTTAATAATTATTAATTCATTAATTATTTTATTGTTCCATTTAATATTTGAATTTTGCAGTCAACCAATCCCCAATTCAAGTGGTAAGGCCAAAGCAAATATGATGCTGATGCATCCAACGTGAACTCATCATAGGTAAGTCGCAATGGCAGTGCCCTGGCGTTAGTTTATCCGAGGATGTCACGAACCGCCAAGCATTAGGCCTACATTTTAGTGAAAATGAATGGCAGGTAGGCTAATATGCAGCTTGTTGTGTGTTTTGAAACCAGCAAAAATGGCAGGATAGTGTATTAGAACATGGATTCAACAAGGTCACATAACGCACCTGCAGCGCTTCTGGGAACGGAGAAATAGAATAAAACTATATACATAAAAAGGAATATATAGGCCTAATACACTCATGATTCACTTAAAATCATTAACAGATTAACAAAACGAAAGAAAAAAATGTGCTGAGTTTCGGTTCATTGTGATGCGATCCAAAGTTCACGGAAAGGAAACCGAGACGGCAGAAAGCCGTTTTGTTCATTTTGAAAAGCTTTAAAGATTTGAATGATGTTTTGCTTCTATCTGTGCGACCAACCAGCATTGGTATGACCATAAATTATGAAGTAACAGTTGGGAAAACAATGCAGTGATCGCGCCGGTGCCTCACACGCACTTACCACATATTTTTGCTAACTTGACATCACAGCCTGTTCATTATCAAAATAAAATACACAGTTAAAGAAACATAAAAAGTTACACTGCTCAATTTAAATAGTCCGTATACGCTCTGTGCTGTTCAGTGTGACCAGCGCCTCACTGCTGATATAGCCGATGTGAAGGATGATGTTTTGCCTAGATAATGCGAGTTAGTAGTATATTTTTATTTAATGCCATGTCAGCATCTCAGGCTATTTTAATGGCAAAAATGAAAAGAAAAAAAAATACAAGTATGATAATGCAAGTGAAGAACAAAGCCTATAGTTTACATAAATAATACTTTAACATCCAGATATGTCACGAATATGGAAACATTTGGATTCGTGCCGAATGAGAGAGGTTTCAATTTCGCTTTAAATGAATTAATTTAGGCTTGATGTTTATATAGCCTAGCCTAAATTCTGTTAACTTAGGATTTGTTGTGGAGAGAAGGGAACTAAAATAGCCTAGTTGTGTTAATAATGTTTATAAATTTGCTTTATTTACCGGTGTTTTAGCCTACATTATTTCTGAATGTAAAAATAAAATGCAACATACAGCCTACGCGACTCTTAAATCTTTACAAAGTACAGAAACTGCACTGTTGAAAATTTTTAATGACTTGTTACTTGCTACTGACTCAGGGGACTGTGCGATTTTAATTCTACTAGACCTTTCAGCTGCATTTGATACTGTAGACCATAAGATCTTGATTACATGCTTAGAACAATGTGTTGGTATTAAGGGTACTGCGTCGTGATGGTTTAGATCCTATTTGTCCGAAAGAACTTTCTCAGTTCATTTTGGAGACTTTGTCTCCTCAACTGCTTCTTTCACGTGTGGGGTCCCCCAGGGCTCCATTTTGGGGCCTATTCTGTTCTCCCTGTATATGCTCCCTTAGGACATTTTTTTAGGAAATTTGGTATTTCTTTTCATTGTTATGCAGACGATACGCAAATTTATCTGCCTTTGAAACGAAAAGATACTTGCTCTTTAGCGCCCCTATTGCAGTGTCTTGAGGAAATGAAGGCCTGGATGGCACTAAATTTCCTTAATTTTAATGAAAATAAAACAGAAGTTATACTGTTTATGCCGGGAGGTACTTGTGAGTCATCAGATTTGGACCTTGGTGAATTGAAACCACTTGTGAAGCCCTATGTAAAAAATGTAGGTGTTATCATGGATTGTGATTTTAAATGGAACAAACAGATTAACTCGGTAGTTAAATCTATTTTTTTTCTAATTGAGACATCTCACCAAGGTGAAATCTTTCCTGTCTTCTAAAGACTTTCAAAGAATCGTTCATATTTTTATTTCAGCTCGTCTGGATTATTGTAATGGCATCTATATAGGTATTTGTCAGGCCTCTCTCTCCAGACTGCAGATGGTCCAGAATGCGGCAGCTCGCTTGCTGACGGGTACATGAAAGCGGGAACACATCACCGCCGTTCTCGCCTCTCTTCACTGGTTACCTGTCCATTTTAGGATTCAGTTTAAGATTTTGGTATTTGTTTTAAAATCTCTTAATGGTTTAGCACCTAAATATCTGTCCGACTTGATCAAGCTGTATGCTCCACTAAGAGCACTAAGGTCTGCTGACCATTTGCTTTTAGTTGTCCCACGAGTAAAGTTGAAGAGCAGGGGTGACCGAGCATTTGCAGTGGCAGCCCCGAAGCTCTGGAACAGTTTGCCCCTCTACATTAGACAGGCTCAAACACTTGCTGTTTTTAAATCTAGCCTAAAAACTTAGTTTTATAGTCTGGCATTTGACGCTACATGAGAGCTGCTTTCTTTTATTGTCTTTATGGTGTCTTATTGTCTTCTTTTGTGTTGCTTTAAACTTAATAAAAGTATTTTTATTCTTTTATGTGTGTACAGCACTTTGATAAACACTTGCTGTTTTTTTGACTTTGACTTTGACTTATGCTTTTTCATCTCAAAACACAATTTATACGAGTAGGGTTTTTTAACCATGCAGTAAACATTTTTAAATATCGTGAAAAAATACTTTAATGTCTTTAAAGCATTGACAGTTTTTTCTTTCGTTTAATACATTTGGCCAAAATCAAGACTAAACGCAAGATACCAGATCAAGACTCACTTTGTGTTTTTGTTTCTTTTTGAGTAAAGAAAATGCTGTACCTTTATTATTGTTATTATTATTAAAGGCATAGAAAAAGTAAAAAAAATAATGTTATTAACCAGTATTTTTTCTACTCAAACTGGTTTCGGAACAGTAATAATACAGAAGAACGCATGAACGTTAAAATATCGATTCTGTTCGGAGTGTACCGATTGATTTTATTTAATTTTTTTTCTATTTTTAAGCCCTGGTTGGTAGACTACAGGGCCTCAGTGCTGCTCTTACACACCTTCCTTTAATAGGTAAGAAGGAAACTGGGATAGCATTTAAAAATGTAGTATTCTACATTTATGTAATGTAATGTTGGTGGTTTCAGAATTTGTTGTGGTTAAATGGGGTGGCCTGGATGAGTGTGAGACTCCCTATCAGAAATTTTGCTCCAGTATGGCTTTTTTTCTTTGCATTTAGTGTTGAAGGGCTTTTACATTGCTCTTGGTAATACCTGATTCTAACTGAACAATTGTGGAATTGTTAATAATAAATAATATAGTAATAAATATTACTCAAGTGTAGTAATGAAATACTTTACACCCCTGTTAAAACGTGAGATCTTGCTCAGCTGATGCAAGTTCTTGATAAAAATATATGAACAAATATTATTATATTTCATTTCAGTTGATAAATGAGCATCCTGAGCATGTGTACCTGGTCACTGGCCGTCAGGCAGATTGGAAACAGATCTCTGAGGAAAAAGCGAGGCATGTTGTCAAGGATCAGACCATAAAGTGGCAGGTACAGAGAGGCTATCCGTGCCTGTTTCTCCTACACACACACAAACACAATACAGTTAAAATCAGTTCACAGACTAACATAAATGGTGCACAACAACTATATACTTTAAATGTTATCACTGTCAAAATTCACCTTTATGGCATAACGGGAGTCCAGTGAATGTTTAGCCATGAGGTTCTTCAGGCAGGCCAGGGCGAGGTGTCTCAGGTCTTGCTCGTCTTGCAAAGCGAGCCCCAGCTCTCTCAACAACAATCCTGTGAGAAAATGTTTCCTGCAGAACTCTTCCGTCAAAATATACTCTGGAAAGTCCACTGAGAAATAAGACACAGAGAGAAACCACATAATTGATCACTATGCGCAGTGTGACAATGCATTTATTTTGTGAGTGAACATGTTTACTGAGATAGAATATGTATTTGAGTTGTCAGGTAACCTCATCATGGCAGCACGATGTGACTATATGACTGGAGTCTTGCTATACGTTACAGAATATGGTGTAAGTTATTGAAACTTGAGAGCTCTAACGGAGGGGAAGATTTTCTGTAAAATCAAATTCAATTTCTGTTTATTTGTCATACAATGTTTGACACAAAGATTTGGAATATACTGCAGGAGTGCATCTTTCAACAGATACTGAGAGCAGTAGAAGGACACTGAATCACAAACATAAAAAAGATTGTCCTAATAGATCAGCTTTACTCAACTGGAGCAATTAAACTGCAGCAATATTTTAACTGGACTCCTGTACTTTAAATGTTGAATGTTTTTGTCCATACTATGAAAGTAAATTGAGTTTCAAAAAGTTAACGTACAGGTAATCCAAGTCTTCTGAAGCTATATAATCACTTTGTCTCGAATCAAATACAATCATTTTGTCTAAAAAAAAAAAAAAAAAACGATCATTTTGTTTTAAATGAAATCAGTGTCATGATCCTGTGTTTTTGTGCTGTTGGTTTATGTAGTCTTTCAATTTTCTTTTCTTTTTTTCAGTGAACTGATTTTCTCATTCAAGTACATGATATTTGTACTTCATCCACTCATACAGATATGAGATTTTCCAACCCGTTCTCACTCGCAGGGTTGAATTTTATTATCAATCAGACTGAAAACTGCATTAAACTGCCACAGAAAACTTTACAAATAAGTAAAATAAGTTCAGTAAAAAACACTTAATAGTTACCCTGAGCACTTTGGGTTTCCGGTGATGCCTTGTCTGACAGAGAGAAATGAGACAGACAGAAAATCAGGGGGTGTGGTCTACAGTATGCTAATTAGGACTACAATGCAAGCGTGAAGTTTTGCGCATGAGACACAAAGAGGTGGCGCTCGTGGTGCTCCCTGACCTGTGATTCGTGCAGACGGGATGGGAAGACTCAGAGGGACATAGTGCTCATAGTTACACACTTCCCTTATGAACTCAAACTTCAGCTCACACAGCATCTGGAAAAACAACATTTGCACCCAAAACACGTTGTGCACACACACACACACACACACGCACACACGCACGCACGCACGCACACACGCACACACGCACACACACACACACACGGTTCTTTAGTGATAAACTTTGCAACACAGAGACGGTCAATGAATTCAACAGCCAGACAAAACACAAATAAATTATACATAAATACATGTCAGTCATTACATAACAAAAGTTCATCATAACCAGGATCTTTTAATGTGTAGTGTCACTGTTTTAATGCTAAAGCCGTGGCCACACTAGACTTTGAGCATGCAAATACTGCATCTTCGTTTGTATTAAATCAAGAGGTCAGTCAATCACGTTCAGATCCTCTATTGTTCACACATGCTCACGTCTAGTGTTACCACGGCTTAAGAGATACAGAAAAGTGAGAAAGTTTAGCTCAGGTACCTTATTGTCACTGGCTGTGATCATGTTTATGTAGTTGCTGATCAGTTTGAAGGTGAAACCTCTGTCCATGAATGTGAAGCACCGCTGAGGACGGGAAATGCATATCTTTTAATTGATCACGGAAACAAGTTTATAACATTATTATGAACTATTCAGGCTGTCCAATTTCAAATGCATGTACAGTACACTATCACACACAAAATACATAAACCTATTTATGTGCATTAAAATGAGTCCTGCATCTAATTTAATTATTCACTTCATTATGCACATATTTACAACATTTAAAAGTCTTAATTATCTCAGTTGTAGTGTGCTGTGTGACCTTCACAAAGGCCGCTATGGCCATATTAGCGCTGCGTGTCTCCTCTGCCAGCTCTTTATTCTTCCAGAAGATGTGATCGGACATCGTCATGATCAGGGTCTCCAATCGACTCTGGAAAGTGCCAGGAAATCGCTGCGGTCGAGGAAGCTGAGCAAACACATTTGTTACGCATTTCTTATTAAATAAACAAGTTTAACAGCGTGAAAGACACAGAAGCAGTTCTGTGCAAGTCACTTGATGTGCAGAAAAAACGTCTCAAAACATCTTTTATTTATTCGGTTTTATTCAGATTTGTTGGTTATATAAGGAAAATGGTAAAAGGTGATCACAGCTGCAGAAAATTGTGAACACAGGTCAAATATTACAGGTGCAACAGCTATAAACGAGAGAAAAAATTATTTGGAAAGTAAAGTCTGAGTATTTACAGCAATACAGAGTTTAGGACTGTATTGAGCATTTATAGCAAACCCAGTTTGATTTATAAACGCTTATCTAAATCACCGAAAAGCAAGACAGTGCTACTAATCGTGTATCTGGTGCATTTTACATTTAAGCTTATGTCAAAAGTTTATTTAAAATCAAACCAAGAGTTCTGAATGTGGTCACACTTTAGTTTGTGGAGCATTTCTCACTATTAACTACGACCTTTGCCTTAATAAACTCCTAATTACTGCTTATTAATAGTCAGTAAGGTAGTTAAGTTTAGGTATGGAGTTATCTAAAATATGGCCTTGCAGAATAATGCATTAAGATGTGCTTTATAAGTACTAATATACAGCCAGTAATATGCATTGGTCCTCAAACTATAGCGTGACCCTTATTATAAGTCATTATTTTAGGCTGACCGACTGACTACAGTTAAAATTACAACAACAAAAAAAAGAATAGGATGAATAAAGCATGAATTCACGTCTGCTGACTCAGTATTTACCTTAAGCTTATTTGAGTCCAGCAGATGCTGCCCCATCGACTTCACTATGATTTCGAGAAAGAACCACGAGAACTGCAGGGAACCCAACAGATATCAGTCGACAGGCTTAAAAACAGTCCATGACTTCTGTAAGAGAGAGATGGTGATGTTAGCTCACCTTGAGGATATTGCGTATGATCGACTGGTCGTTGCTCTTCAGGTCAGAGGTCATGCCCTTGGCCAACTCTTCGTGAACCGTTCTGAAGCCACACGCTTCAGTCTTAAAGACAAACTGGATAAACAAAAGAGAAACACATCCGACATGTTTCCACAAGAACAAAAACAAAGCCTTTACCGTCTCTGCACCAGCAACTTTATTTTCCCTGCTAGATAATTTCTTCAGATATGTCAAATGTCGATATGTGCATTTAAAAGAAATTGGATTTTAAATTCAAGACTCAACATTTTAAAGCTTTAAAATGTAAACTGCAAGAATCTGGCTTCAACCGTACCTAGCTATTGGCAGCAACATGCATGAGTGAAATGATACATCGGCACAGTTAGGATTGTGCCATATAATGTACCTTTATGTAAGAGTGCAAATAGTGGCCCAGGTTCTCCTCGTGGCACTTAGCTAAGATGTGGACCAGGACCCTGATGGAAAAGAGGTTTACATGTAATGTTAAAGTGAGAGTTGTTGACTGAGTGCGTTCAGAAGAGCGAGTGATGGGTTTTGTACCTGGTGGTGCTGGTGGACACTTCGTCAGTGTCGTTTTGAGTGAGCACTTTAAAGAGCTGGTTGAAGATAACAGGAAGGAAGCGAATTATGACATGAATCCTCTCCATACTCAAGAGGCCCTGAGAGCACAAAAAAGAGTTCATATAAAAATATGGACTGAATATTCACCTAAAAACGTTGAGGAATTTTCACAGGCATTATTCAAACATATTTGTGACCCTGGAGCACAAAAGCAGTCTTAAGTCGCTGGGGTATATTTGTAGCAATAGCCAACAATACATTGTATGGGTCAAAATTATAGATTTTTCTTTTATGCCAAAAATCATTAGGATATTAATGTTCCATTAAGATATTTTGTGAATTTCCTACCATAAATATATCAAAACTTAATTTTTGATTAGTAATATGCATAGCTAAGAACTTCATTTGGACAACTTTAAAGATGATTTTCTCAATATTTAGATTTTTTTGCACCCTCAGATTCCAGATTTTCAAATAGTTGTATCTCAGCCAAATATTGTCCGATCCTAACAAACCATACATCAATGGAAAGCTTATTTATTCAGCTTTCAGATGATGTATAAATCTCAATTTCGAAAAATTGACCCTTATGACTGGTTTTGTGGTCTAGGGTCACATATGATGAATATTAGTTAAACAATACCTACACATAATTTCAAACTTTAAAAATGTGCATTTTGATTTCACTTCAAAAAAGAGAGAGAGAGAAACAGTGTAGAATAGCAAAACACACAATATATATGCGTTGCTTAAAAAAAAGAAGCCTAAATTTAAGCAAATTGTACAATTTGGTCCCTGTCTTTAACTGGATCTTGATCTTAAGTGGATCTTGACTTTACGTAATACACATTTTGCAATCAGCTACATGTCTGTCTCTGGATAATATATTTATGAATATGTATAAAATGGGTTGCATTTTTAATTATAATTCCGTTTTGACAGATTTTCAGCCCCCAGTTAAGGCCCTGAACACACTTACTTTAAGGCAATTGAGGAAGTTTGAGGTAGGAGCTTGAGAGAGGTCTGCCTCTCGTTTTTGGCACTGCTGGAAGAAGCGGTTTAGATGGGGGTCCTGCAAAAAAACCCACGGGAATTATGAAATCACAAACATGAGCAAGATAACTGTAAATTTTAATCTGAGACTGTGGCTCTTTTTTTACCTGAGTATAAACTGTAGAAAGCACCAAAGTGGACACTTTGAAGATCGGCTTCCCCCCATCGACCCACTTCACATCCGAGCCATTCTGCAAGAAAAATATGAAAAACAAACTACTATAATATCTCGCATGTGAATCATCATTATTTGTCTTTGGGTCTCCTGTTTTGAAACATTTGAAACTTTTTTTACAGCTTTTATTCTTATATAATATCAACATGTATTGATAGGCAGTGTTACAGAAAGTTACTTTTAAAAGTAATGCATTACAATATCGTGTTACTCCATAGAAATTAACTAATGGTGTTACTTTTTATGGAAAGTAATGCATTAGGTTACTTTTTTGTTACTTTTTGTCACCTGGGCTGGGCTTGTTTTTTTTGTTTTTTTAATAACAAAAAAATCAAAAGTTATATTTTTGGCAACTGTAAGGGCCCTTTCACACCAAAAGCTAAATTTAATGCCTCTGCACCTCACTCCCAATTTCTTTCTACACTGGGACAGGAGACCTGTCAGTGAACAAATGGGAAAACAAAGCAACTGGTGTTACTTATTTGCAAAAGTAACTCAGATATTTCATTGTAAATTTTAAAGTAATGCATTACTTTACTAGTTACTTGAAAAACGTAATCTGATTACGTAACTCACGTCACTTGCAATGCATTACTGTTGACGGGTTTTAGGATGGGTATAAATGTACATGACATATGTCCAAAAATATATTACACATACATATATATTTGAATGGGCTGGATATACAGTATATGTTAATATATTAAATTATTCCAATTTCTTATAGGTTTCATATATGTTTTTACTTCAAATGACCACATACTTCATATATGGAAGTGTAATATATGTACATATATTAAATTTGCATATGGGGCTACAACAAATATAATTTTTGCATTCCCATTTGCTCCAACAGAAAAAAATAAATCCACAACTTTCCAAAAAAAAAATATCGCGAGTTTCATTATATTGGCCAGAAGATAGAGATGTCACATTTGCTATCACTCTATTAGAAATAGTTTGTATGTAATTGAATGCCAAGGTTATATAACACAAAGTATAGAGATATAAATGTACATTCATTTTTTGCTACAGATTTATGATGTTAATAACTCCGGAAGCTTCATTACTGTCAGTGAAAATGGTCTGTTCTGATTTCTAGTTTATGTGACCTATAAAGCTGCCTTTGAATCACTTCTATGTCTTCATCCTTACTTTATATCTTCATCATCATCATCATACTTATATCTGTATTCATCTATTTTCTTTTTCTAAACTGTCTGTTTCTATGTTTTTCTGGATTCTTGCACTCACTTTGGTGGATGAGGGCTCTTTAATGTGTAGATATCCACGCATTGATGTCACAGGTCACATGATAGAAGGAGAAGAGTAAATGGTGTTTCTCATGAAGATGTGTGGGCAGCTCAATCTTCACCTGAACAAGCATATCATAACAAACAGTAAAAGACCCATAACTTTCGTCTGAACGTAACCTGCAAAAGCTGCTAAAGCACTTGAAAAGAATATTTTGCAAACCTCATCACAAAAGTCTGGGTTCTGTGAGTGATGCAGAACTGTAGAACAGGCAGTCGTGGTAAAAACTGGACCTCCTGGCTTTCCGTAGATGCACTGTGGAAATGGATTTACAGCATTTATATTCACGAGTCAAATTTTAAAGCAGATGTTGGTGGAAACTGATGGAAACTTGTGTTATGTTACCTTAAGTGGCTTGGCGTGTTCTTCATCAGAGCTTCTGATCTCCACGTAAACGGCGATGTTTCGAGCCTAAAACAAGAACAGACACGGCATGACTGTACACTGCATGTTAACAAATGAAGACCAAAACAATCTAAACTGAGCACATCTGAATCCTTCATTAGACCTCAAGCAACTTCAGCATGCTCAGTCACTCCACAACGGCCGGTCAGAAGTTAAAACTTAATTGTGGTGTAAAATATTTAAGCCAGTACTGCACCAATAAAAAATGGTTTCAGCATAACTATTAGGGCTGGGTAAAAAAATATCGATATCTCAATTTTAATCGATTCTCATTTTTACGAAACGATATCGATTCTTAAATGCCAAGAATCGATTAGTCTAGCCTGTTTTCAGTCCCATCCAATAAATCGCAATAAGAATTCGATTTGGTACTTGTAATATGAAACAAAGTCTCATATTTCAAATTCTGTCCATTGTATTGCAGTATTCAAAGCTTCAAACAGTAAATGCCGTTTTGGCGCTGTTTAATGTGAAGTGACAGATCGCTGTAGTGCCTCAGATCAACAGACGCACGTGAACTGATCATCTCCTCCACATTAATACAAGTTTCAACACAAAATAAACATGACTAAATATCCGAAGGTAAGTTAAAAGAAAGAGTACAACTTTACAATCCATATCCTGTCTCATGTAATCGCTCAATCAGTGTTTCAGCCGCGCAAAGACGTCAATATAACAGCTTGTATGTCACGTAACGTCACATTTACCTCAGAAAAACATATTCAGTGACCATAAACTCATTAATCAGCTAGAAAAATAAAATGTAGAGAGGGGCATTTTGCTAAATATATGCACCATATAACATATTCATTATAAGTTTTACTGTTCTTCAATGTTTAATTTGTTTAAATAAATCTGTCAAGTTTTTATGACAGCCACCATTTAAATGTTTATGTTTAAAAAAAATGAATTGAAGTAGAAATATTATTATGTAATTTTAACTTTATTATTATAAAAACTTCATTAAGTGTAATTTAAGCAGTTGTACAGCCTAAAATTTTTTTTAACCTTCAATATTATAGTAATAGTATACTATAATTTTACTATAAAAATATTATAGTAATGTAGTACCAACTGACTCTCATGTATATTTTACAGCATTTTACAGCATTAGTTGAGAGATTTTATATATATATATATATATATATCTAGAATGCTAAATCTCCGCTGTGCGTCAGGTGGTTCTTTGCCTCTGTCATGACGAGAATACTTAACGATGCATGAATCAATCCGAGTTTTAAAAAACATCAATACGTCTACATTTTATTGCTGTTTTTTATGTTAAATGTGAAGAATGACGGATGCCACGGACTTTTTTTTCTTTTTTTGGCAGAGTAGCCTATAGGTGGAATTTTCACATTAACTTCACGCAATATAACAAGATTTTATTATCGTAATTTTGACTTTATTCTTATTAAATAACTAAATCTTATTTATTTAGTTAATTTTCAACGTGGCACTAAAATGCTGCCGTATGCTACTGAATGCAAACACCATTTTGGCACAGCGGCCCAAAAACCAATCAAACAAACAAAATAAATAAAAAACAAACAAAAAAGTAAAAAATAGTGAGGGGATATTTGAATTATTTGTTAATAAACTAGTGTTTTCTGAGTCAGTATCGCAAAGATGAATTTGACAAACCTGACTCGCCATCTCCTCATTGGACATGCCTTTAGAGAGAAATGCCTCTTTGCAGATTACATAATGAAAGAGTTTTTGTTTTCGATTTTAATTATTTTGTTTTAAAATAGTAATTTAAAGCATTATATAGATATATTTATCATGACGGTAAGGCAAGTATTCGCTGAGTTTCAGTTCATCATTGTGAGGCGCTCCTGCTCAAGACCAAGACGACAGAAAGCGCATACTGTTTGTTTTCCTTATTTTACAAAAGCACAAGGTTTTGTTGATATTGTTAGTGCACACAAATACAAGTAGACTTTGCAGTTCCGAATGAGGTATACTCTTACCTTTATGAGCAAAAATGACGGCGTATTTTTAAGCTTTCACTGTTATTAAAAAAATTGCAAGTGATCGCGCTGGCGTCTCCATGTCCTGCAAAGCGCGCTTTAGCTTCCACTCTCCACACAAACTATTGGATATGCGCCTAACAGCGCTCATTTATCTAGGTTAAATGTTTAAATTAATACTGTGAAATGCTTTAATACTGTAAAAGTGTTTTATGTCTATAGATTTTATTTTAGGCAAGTCGTCGTGTTGATTTGAGAAGGCTAAATTGATCAAACATGCTCAACTCACTGTCAGCCGCTGGCCGCTTGGTCGTTCCTTTAAAAAATAAAAACCTGAATTTAACAAACATAAAATGTTCCAAACATATTTCTAAATTAACTTAATAAAGAAACTAAAAGAAATATTACCACTTTGCCATTAAAAACCGAATCTGAACTATTTTAATAGCTGTGTAATGGGGAAGAGAGAGAGAGA